GTCCCCTGCATCGGCAGGCGGACTCTCAACCACTGCGCCACCAGGGAAGCCCCTAACGTACTTTTGAGCTTTACACCTCACCTCTCTCCCACTCTGATCTTCTCGCATGACTGTTGGTTCATTCCTGCCCCCAAATGCCCAGTGAACTTGCCTCTTTCTGTACTTTTGTATTTAAACCATTCTGCTCATTGAAAATGACCTTCTCTGTCTTCTGAGTTCTCCCAAATTGAATTTATCTCTTCCTACAGACCCTCTCCCCTCACCAGACCAGCCTGAAGAGCTTTCTCCTTCCTCTCCTTCCACTTAGTTACTGGCCATACAGGTTCTTTGGCAGTTATTTCCTGCCTTATAAAATTAATCTTTTAGTGCTACTTGACTTTTCATGTGGTCATGTGGTGTGGTTTTTTGTTTTTCCTTTTTTTTTTTTTAATCTTCCTAAAAAGTCATACATCTTCTGAGTACTGGGAACCAGGCTGGCAGTTGGGGATCCAGTGGGGAACACATTCCTGCCCATGTGGAGCTTCCTGTCTAGAGCAATTACAGTACAGTAAAATAATGTGAATCAGTCTGTTCATCTTGTTTTCTCTCCTACAAGGTACTTGGAAGATGGCAAGCCCTACGATATGTTTGTTTAAATCTAAAATAGCACCTAATGATCATTGGTTATTTTTATTAGTTGAATTTCATGTGTTCATGCCTGAGGAATTTTTTAAGGCATACACATGGCAAACTATTTGTATTTCTTCCTACATTGGTGTCATTGTGTAAAGTAAGCAACTAAGGCATAATAAAAAATGTCTCTATTTAAAAATGTTATGGGGAGGGCTTCCCTGGTGGCGCAGTGGTTGAGAGTCCGCCTGCCGATGCAGGGGACATGGGTTCGTGTCCCGGTCCGGGAAGATCCCACATGCCGCGGAGCGGCTGGGCCCGTGAGCCATGGCCGCTGAGACTGCACGTCCAGAGCCTGTTCTCTGCAACAGGAGAGGCCACAACAGTGAGAGGCCCGCGTACCGCAAAAAAAAAAAAATGTTATGGGGAAGTTGAGGTTTGGTGATGTCCTACTTTGGTTTTGATTATCATAAATGAAAGCTGAAAGGACGATACTCAAGTACTCTTGAGATTTGTGTGCTTCAAACCAAAGTCTGTTAGAAGCCTCAGAGTGCTCAAAACCTTGATTCTGTAGGGAATGACAAAAGTCAGGTAAACCTGAATCCCTGACCCTAGTCTGTCATTCTTTGAACCGTCCGCCTTGGAAGCCAGCAGTGAGGGATTCTCAACCTTGTCAGATAAGCCCAGTGTACAAAAGGTATATGCTCACTCCATTCCGGATTTGGTTTGGAACAGGTCGTGGTGGCCGGGTTGGAACCCACGGGGGCACCCTGTCGTCATACATTGTGAAGAACATTGCTTTGGACAAAACTGATGACAGCAATCCCCGGGAAGCCATTTTGCGGCACGCCAAAGCAGCCGAGGACAACCCATATTGGGTTTCTCCAGCATACTCCAAGTAAGCAAACAGCCTTTTAAAATAGAAAATTTATTATGTTTAATGAATTGGGAAGAATGTAACAATGGCTGCTTTGAGGTTCTAGTTTCTCCATATCTTTTTTATTCCTAAGCATGAAAAATGGCCAGGTACTCATGGTCCTGAAACCTAGGCATTTGTTTGTATCTGAGGACTCTAAACGGTAAATGTTTAAACCAGGCCGGTTCCATTAGATCTATAGCCTAGCATAAACCCATTATGTGAAACCCATTCTACCTGTGATTAAAAAAAAAAAAAAAAAAAGAAAGAAAATCACTGCCTGTCTGCATTATCTTAGTTAGGGAGGGTTAAAAGCAAATGAAAGGAAACAGTTTGTAGAATCTATTATTGAGGATTAACTTTTATTTGTAGAGCTGTGTTTGTAAGTAACACTTAAACATAGGCAGAGTAGAGCCTGCCTGCTCAGATTCCCTCAAATAGCTTCGCATGCGTGAACATGTAGTGGTTCTTAAAGCCACTAAACCAGCTACATTTATACTAAAGAACAGTAATATTGTAGAATTTTGGGGTTTTAAGTTTTTATTGTAAACTAACGTTAGACTCAGAAAAATCGTAAAAGCAATGCAGAGAGTTCATGTATACTCTTCACCCAACTTCCCCTGATGTTAACACCTTCCATGGCCATAGTACAGTTAATTGGCAACACCATGAAATTAACATGGGTACAGTACTGTTAACTGAGCTACAGACCTTATGTGATTTCTCCAGTTTTTCCACTAATATCCTTTCTCTCTTCTACAGTCCTATCTAGGATCCCACGTTGCATTTAGCTGTTACTTTTCCTTTGTCTCCTCCAGTCATAACAGTTTCTCAGTCTTTCTCATCTTTCATGACCTTGATGCTTTCAACGAACACTGGTCTGTTATTCTGTACACTTTCTCTCAGTTTGTGTTTGTCTGATATTTTCTCATGATTGGAATAAAACTATGCATTTTTGGCAAAAATAACACAGGAGTGATGTTATATCCTTCTCAGTGCATCACATCAGGGGCTTCGTGTCCCTCAGTCTGATGACTGGTGATGATAACTTTGATCACTTGGTTAAGGTGATGTCTGCCAAGTTTCTCCACTGTCAAGTTACTATCATTGCATTTTGAGTTAATAACTTGCTTGGGAGTAATATTTTCAGACTAGGCAAATCCTGTCTCTCAGACTTTTGTTCTCTCGTTTTATCATGCATGGATAGATTTGCCTGCAGCAGTTACTACTGTGGTGTTTCCCTAGTGGTGTTTTCTATTTCCCTCTTTTTTCCTACATTTATTACTTGGACTTCTACCAAAAGAAAGAATTGCTCCTCTCACATTTCTTTATTTTTCAAGTTTTTAAATGTAAGTGTGTACTTTAAAATACTTTGTTCTATGGGTTAAAATCCAATACTATCATTATTTAGTTTGTCGCTCACATTGTTCCAGTTTTGGCCAATAGAATCTCCTTCAGAATGGCTCCTTTATTCTTTCAACAAGGTGTGTTATTTTTGGTTTGTTAGTTTGTTTGTTTTTTAGCACGTCCTTATTTTCTGGCACCGCAAAATGTTCCAGGCTCATCTTTGTTTTTGTTTTTGTTTTGCCACAGTCCTAGAATCAACCACTTCTCCAAGGAGCCCTGGCTCCTTTTTGTTGGAGAATGATGTTTAGAAACCAAGAGGTTGGTGCTGTATGTGCTCATTGCTACTAAAATGTCATTGCTTCTAGGTCCTGTCAGCCAGCAAACCTCAGAAATATATGTTTGTATACTAACCTACACATATACACACATATATATTTCTGTATGTATCTATCTGTATTGTGTATATATATATATATATATATATATATATTTAACAAATAAAACACAAAAAACCTCAGTCGGATGAACACAGTAAGACACAAACAGGAAAATAATTCACACCTGAAAAAATGAGAAAAGCTTATCAATACACCTGCAGTGCAACAGGGAAGAATGGAAAGTAACTACAGAAAACATGAGATTAGCCCATTCCGGGAGCGGGGCACGAACCCGTGGCCCCTGCATCGGCAGGCGGACTCTCAACCACTGCGCCACCAGGGAAGCCCTGTATATATATTTTAAATAGTACGAGTTTAAACTGATGCCCCTGATTTCAATCCTGTACCACAGGGTTCATTTAACCTTTTCCCTTTGCATATTTGTAACTTCTCTCTCCAATAGTGAGAAACCCAGCTCATATTATCTACAGTATATTTACTTATTTGTTCAATTCTAGTCTACACCTAAAATCGTTTTAGAATTGCTAACCGCCACCCACCCATGAGAAACACTTTTCCTAACTAAATTACAGCATTTGTGTATAGTTCTTCTTGCCTTTTTTATCCTTACAGTGTCTAGTCAAGTTACTTAGCTCTTGTCTTCTCCACTCCCATCAGTGTGGTTATGTTATCCATTTGAAAATGAAGTTAGGCTTATTTTTAGTGTTTATATTCCTTTATTTTTTTAGGGTGTGGGTAGGGTATATGAACTGTTACTGTGGTGCTAGGGGTCAGAACTTTAAAAGAGATATCCTCAGGGAAGTGTCACTCCCTCTTCATCCCTGCTCCCCCATTCCAATACCCCTGCTTCTTTCAGTCCTTTTCCTACTCACCCCTATGGGTAACCACTCTCTTTAGTTTCTGTTTTATCTTCTTTTGCACAAATGTGCAGATCTGTATTTTCTTATATTCCCCTCCTTTCTTACATGAAGGCTAGCATGGTATAAATAGTCTTTTGAGTTTTGTTTTTTTTCGCTTAGCAGTATGCCCTGGAAATCACTCTCCACCAGGTCATAGAGCTCATTCCCATTCTTTTTCACAGCTGTATAGTGCTCCGCTGCATGGATGTACCATGGTTTATTCCACCATTCTCCTACGTATGGGTATTTAGATTGCACCCAGTATTTTGCAATTACTAACACAGTAAATAAATTTGTGTATGTGTATTTTTGTATTGTTGGAAGCATATTCAGCTTTTCTCTTGATGTTTTTATGTATTGCTAAAGTTTTCTCTTCAGTTATGAGAAAGCTGGACTCTGATTACTTTTCAAAACATTTATATGCTAGAAGAAAACCAACTTTATAAACCAGCTCAGCTTACATGTTATACTGATATTGATCCTCTATCTGCTGATCATTATGAGCTACTTTGCCTAAAAGTAAAACACACTGTCTTAGCTTGGGTTCCTTAAAAGCAGACCCTGAAATAAAGACGCTTACAAAGATGATTTAAGCCAAGAAAGTGAACAATATTAAATAGAGTTGCAGGGAGGGTCACTTTGGCTTAGTCCCACAAGGTGATCCTGGAGACCCTGGTCAGAGCACACAGTAACTGGAGTATTTCACTTCAACATTTGTTGGTCCTTGGTGATGGCTAGAGATGGGACCAGGGGAGACATTTCAGGCAGTTCCAGCTATCCGGGGCTTTAGCAACCTGCCGGCAGCCCTCTGACAGAGAGAGGTCGGTGCTGCTGCTGCGAGTGAAAGCACCCTGCAGAAAAATGCTAAAGGGATTTGAGGGCCCCTGGTGGGGAGCACCGCATCCTTTGCTATATGTGTTGTAGCAGAACAGACTTTATTTACTGTGTAACGTCAGTGGTGGATGTTTGCAACATGTATTAATAACCAGACAGTACAGATGGAACATCTCTGAACAAGTAGTTGGATAATATTACAACAGCTAAGAGGGTCATATCAAGGCTGGCCAGCTAAATAGTTTGCATGTAGCCTTCATTTGTATAGAATCTGTGTGTGTATAAGCTAATATATGTCAACACATCCTTGGCACTCAGATACGCTTATGGATTATGCCTCTGACACTTCTGTTTTTAATGGAGTAGTTATTTTCTGTTATTATTAGGGATCTTTTTATACTTCAAAAAACTTGTTTATAAGCATACCAAAAATTAGCTGAGGAAAGAAGAGTAAACAGAGCCATGGTTTAAAATTTGCCAAACAATATGTATCATTTTGATAGCAAACTGCTCCAAATAGACGTGTGTACGTTTGTACACAAAGTAAATCATTGAGGTGTCTCCACAAATATTGAAATAATACTGTTTGCTGATTAATGATTGATATTAGCAATATATAATTCATAGAAAGGTGTCAAAATTACCACTGAAGAAAATGAGACACTGAGAAGATAACTTTTAGAACCTACTGGATTGCAAGTTATTGCTAGAACCCAAACCAGGAACCTGGCCTTAGAACTTCCAGGTTATTGTTCTAACTTCTAACAACTAATTATCTTGATAACAAGATTTTCATGTCTGAGATTTTAAGTAATACGTGCACACAATTTTTTAAAAATCCAGCAATGCTAAAGCATAAACAATGGAAATTTGAAAGCCTCCCTTTCACTTTAACCCCCAGTTCCTTCGTTCTACCACTTCAAGATACCCACTGCCGACAGGTGCTTGTATTTCCTGCCAGAGAGAGTCCATGTATAAATGAGCAGACGTGTGTAGAAGCATTTACTGTTTAAAAACAGGTATATAACATGTTTTACAAGCTGGTCTTTGTTCTTGATTGTTGGTTGGTTTTTTGCTTTATTTATTACTTGGGAGATTGGACTAGACCCGTTCATACATATCTAGCTCATGCTGTATACTTTCTTGATATTTTCCGTTGTGTGATATATTATGCTTTTCTAAAACAGTACAGTATTGAAGGACGTTTGCATTGCTTTCAGTCTGTTGTTATTATAAACAATACTGAAATTAATATCTTTGGACTCCTTGACCACATGTGCAAAACTTCAAGAAATAGAATTGCCAAATCAAAAGATATTTGCATTTAAAATTTGTATAGATAGTGCCCAGATTTCCTCCAGAGAGCCTTTTTTTTCTTTTTGCCGTACGCGGGCCTCTCACTGTTGTGGCCTCTCCCGTTGCAGAGCACAGGCTCCGGACGCGCAGGCTCAGCGGCCATGGCTCACGGGCGCAGCCGCTCTGCGGCATGCGGGATCTTCCCGGA